AGTGACTTCAGTGTTGTAGTCTGACCCGTCCGGGGATTGTCAGGTTGGGGAGCCCCATGGCCGCCAGCTCGTGCCGCCAGCTCCCTGGCCGCCGTCTCCTCTCCATTTTAAGGAGAGAATGTCGAAGCAACACGTCTGAGGCCAAAACCCAGAGTAGGGGCAGTTGCGGCTGACACTTTGTGAAGCTTTTCTGGCTGTTCAATGTGGCTGCCTGTTTGTAAGGATAAGTACGTGGCTGCCTCTCGCACGGCTGGCCCGTGGGGGCTGGCAAAACGGGGCTGGCAGAGGTGCTGTGGCCGGCCGGCGGCCATCTTGTTTTGGCATCGGGTTGGCCCGGCGCAGGGCAATTCCACGGGACGGTGTGGCAGGCTTGGTCGTGTTTTCCCTGGAGGGCTTCCAAGCCCGTCTGATTTTCATGGCTGCGTTGGCTTCCCTCCCTCTAGTTGTTTTTCTCCTCTTGTTGGTTTAGTGCTGCTTCTCTTTTCGCTCCTGTTACACGAGCCAGGCCTCTCTTTTGCTGCTAACAGGAACGAGCTGTCTCACGCAGAAAAGGTCATCCGTCCATGGAAAGCATCCCAGCCGAACGTCAGATAGGCCTTTGCTCAGAAATGGGAGGCGCTGAAACGTTCAAGAGGGGCTCCTGATAGGCGACATTTTGCTTCGCAGCCCCGTGCGCTCCTAAGGACGGGATGTTACAAGGATTAAATACAGATAAAGAAATGTCTTAGCACATTTTAGCCTTTCTTTATACTCCGTAGTGGAAGCCGTACTTGAGATCACTAAGAGCATAATCCTGCACAGGATTAGGCAGAATAAAACACCCACCAGCATGCCCCCGCACCGCTTAAGAATTAAGCAAGCCAGAGTTAACCAAACGATTGCCCATGGTTTGTTGGTAGGTTAACTCTGGGCTGTTAACTCCTAAACATTCTAGAGCCCTGGGTCTGAATGTTATAGTAACAGCCCAGGCATGAGGTATTCCTGGGTTTCGGAGAGAACAAGTGGAGAGCATGGAAGAGCATGTATTCCGTAAGAGCTGCTGGATTGTTTGACCCAAGAACTGGGCATGACGTGTGTGGGCAGGCAGAGGACTTGTTCCCCACTCAGACTATAGAACGGCGTAAGCGGCTGCTGCGTGTCACATCTGTGTACATGGAGCTTTTCCGGACCACATGCACCATCGCTCTTTTCAGTGGGACATTGGGCATCCTGAATTATGATAAACACTCCCCTTTCTTTTGGCTCCTAAAATAACAAAAATCAATGTCTACAGGAGAGCATTCTGCAACAGTGCGGCTAAAGAATCCAGCCACCCTCGCACAACGAATGTAAAGTTAGTGTGTGTGTTTGTGTGTGTGTGTGTAAACCAGCGTTCTCCAACCTGGTGCCTCCGGAATGTGTTGGCGTACAACCGCCGTAATTCATGACCGGTTGGGCACGCTATTTGTGCATGCAAGAATTTGTGCATGCAACGGATCTTGCACACCTGGGAATGTCGCTGCAGATTCTTCTGTGCTGAGGTTGCCGTTGGGATTGGCTGTGAAAGTGTGCGTCTTGCTGGGGCCTGTCTTGTGTGTGCCTTTTTACAGAGATGGCGCCCATCCATACAGTGTCAAGTGTGTTTATCATTCTGGTGGGGGGGTAGAAATTGTGGAGGGGTGAAGGGGTGGGGGCGAAGGAAGCAACATGGCGCCGGGTGTAGCTTGGCCTGTGGCAATGCAGACCGTTTCCATGCTTGCCGTTTCTGGCTTGCCTCAGCTCTGGATGCTGTGAAGCTTCGCATGGGCTTGCCAGGTCTTTACAAGGACAGCTGTCCAAATATCCCTCACCTGTGCTGACACCTGGGAAAGGCTCCCTCTCTTTCAGAGGCGCTGGGTTCAGGTCTTCGTGCTTCTTTGGCAGCCCTGGAGGCCCGGTTCTGCCGCCGGCGCTGGCTAGTGCCTTGGCCGCAGCCCGGGGAACCGATGGCCCTGCCTGCCCGTCCTGATCCCAAGCTACTTCCTCTGCTGTTTGCCCTCCTGGTTGCAGAAGGGGAGGCGACCTGTTTGATGTTCCCATGGTGACACCTGGTGTTGTTCTTTGGTTAATGATTTGTGAGTGCTCGGTTACTTCCTTTGGCTTAAAGGGGATTTCTTGTCGGGTTTGAAAGGGAAAAATAATTTGTCGGAGTTATTTATTAGCTTCGTCATGCCATCGGCCGGACTCCGCCAGACTCGGTGTGCGGAATCGCCCCAGGCGCCCCAAGCCCATCCAGCTGTAGCCGCAGTACCCCGAAGAGTCGGCTGCTGTGCTTACTCCTCGCTCCCTCCTCGCTCGAAGAGGGTGTGCACCTTGCTCACGCGGGTGCGTGCCTGCGCACTTGCTTGAGCTGACTGGCCTCGGTGCTTCATCGCATCGTGCCGGGCTGCGCCACTGGGCTCACGCCTCGCCCCGGATCTCCGAGCGGCTGTGACATCAGGCCGCGTCCAAGACCTCCTTGCTCAGGCAGTCCCTGTCCGCACGGCCTCCCAGCTGCCCGCCTGGCTCTCTGGTTCCATCCAGCCCGATGACGTCTGCAGCACAACCGCTGCCCGACTCCCTGCGCAAGGCTAGGAGCACGTGCTGCCAGGGGTCCCGACACCTCCCCCCCTCCCCCGGCCCCTCCAGAGGCCTGGCGGGACATTGGCCTGCGTCCGACGGGGTTCTCTGTACTCTCGACCCCACAATCCGCTCTGCGGTGATGTCACGGCCTGCCGTACGCAAAATGTTCCGGCCCGTTTTGCAGCCTGCCGAGAGCGAACGCACAGAGGCGTCCGCTTGGATGGCCGCCTGCTTGCCACCGCTCGGCCCACGTGCTGGAATGTCATCCGTGGGGTCGGAGCGGACTTCCCAACCCCCCTGGCCCAGCCCCTATGCGCAGCACGGATCCCACTCCACTCCGCCGAGACCGCTCTCCGTGACACGCGCAGGGCCCGCGCAGCAGCCTGTGCCTCCGAGCGATCCCTGCGCCCCGGCCCTCTCCGTGGCAAGGGCTGTGCGCTCCAGACATGGCTTGCGGCGCATCTTGCAGCTGTGGCCTGCTTTTCGTTGGCAGCTAGAAAGCCCCCCCCCCCCCCCGCCCGGCCTGCTGCATTCTTCTAGTGTTGCACCCTGGAGGTGGATGCTACGGCAACACAGTCGGCTGTGCTGAGATCAGGGCTCTCCGGAAATGGAAGGGGATCGGGTTCCCTTGCAGCGAACGCAAGCCGTGGGGGCCGGAGCTTCTGTTGCTGCCGACAGGGAAGAGGGTTTGGCACCCTCCCAGCGCGGAACCCAGACTCCCAAGACCTCCGCAGGGATGAACCGGGCGTTAAAACCTGGACCAAGGGGGACCTGAGTCTTAGGGATCAGCAGCGGAGAAAGAGCGAGGCCTTCTGCAGTCCTAGTGCCATGGTGGGGCCTGCTAAAGAGGAAATGGCTCGAGCAGGACGCAGGATTTGCTCTGGAAAAAGGAGATGCTGAGCGGTGGCGGCCACGGGGGGTTGTGGCCCCGTGCCAGGGATAAAGCGCTGGGGTGGACCGTTTGCCCCAGTGTGCCGCCGGGTCCTTTCCCTGGGAGCTGGCTCGAGAGAAGCAGTTCGGGGTGGGAAGGGAGAAGACCCACGTTTTGAGCGTCACGCCGTGCTATCTCCACAAAGCAGGCCTCCAAGGTCTGTAAAAATAGCAAGCTGATGACATCCCTTTTCGTTCGTTCTTTCTTTTTTTAGATTTCTGGATTTTTCATGAGGCTGAATAGAAGAACAGTCAGGAATTGCTCTGTCTTGTACTGTTTACTCCAGAATCTGATTTTTAATGGTGTAAAGCATTTGGCAATTATGGTTTCTTTTTCAAGTAATAGATAGATCGACATTAAAAAATGGTCTGCATGGGCATGTGGCGGAAACCTGTTTTTATAGTGCAAACACGGATAACATTGGTTTTTCATGTTTTGTGGGTGTTAAAAGGGTGCAAATATTCTGTAAAATTTCAGGCAGAGCACCTGAAGGAAAGCTGTTGAAAGCAATCTTTTTCCTGTTTCTTTCTGTGATGCAAGGAAATAGATTAGCACGTTAAACATGCAGTGGGAATTGTTTTCATTTGTATTTCTAGCCCAGCCTCATCTAAGGATTCAGAACTGTCTGTAGTAGATGAATCTCAGTCAATACTAATATGGCCTGGTTCACACAAAATGCTAACCTGTGGTTTAATTAAACCATGGTTTGTTGCTGTGTATATGGTTTGTCTGGCAGATGAATACACGGAAACTATTATTTATTTGCTTGGTCCCTTGTTTCCCTCCTCTGCCTACTCCTTCCCTGTACAACTGCCTTTATGATACTAAAGTACCAGCATATACTGGCTAAGTTTTGAGAAGGCTCTTGCCAAATGCCTTTATAGTCTGATAAAATAACCAAAGAACACCCCACAATTCTGGGTTTACATATTACAACAACCCATGGCTTAAACAACCATGGGTTTTCTTTATGAATAGTTCTGGGTTCATATGAAATGACAACCTATAATTCAACAAACCATTGTTTGTTGTTATTATATACAAACCAGGTCTATCTATTATATTTGACAGAAGGGGAAACTGAGTGCTTCAGGTCTCCAAATTCTTAGCTGGGTAGTCCATCACCTGAGGTTTGAGGACATGGAACTCCAGCTTTTAAAAACATGTTTCTAGTTCTCATGAATGAGATACTTGAATCTGTGCCTGCAGTTTACTGGGGCGCAAAGCTCAGACTGCTTCTCTCTTGATATATGCCTTTTCCTGACCCTTATGCCTCTGAGGCATCCATTCCTCCATTTCCATACCAATCTGCCCATCTTCCTGCCTGTCCTGAAAAAAAAAACCAACGTTGAGCAAGTTACGTAAATTAAAGAGAACTGTACACATTTTATTGGTCTGTGTACAAATTTTGGAATAGAGTCAGGAAGGGTGCAGATAAGAAAGACGAGTTTGGGCTCGGAGTGATGCGTTGCCCCTTTCTTCTCCGCAGAGGGTCCTGCTCCGGAGAATTTGGAGACCAAACCTTGAGGAGCAGCGACACAGATACCCAGTAGATGTGGTCAGCTTGCCCAGGTAAGGCCAGCTTCCCCACCATTCCTCCCCACTGGCCCGGCCGGCGTCTTGCATCCACACATGCCCGGATCGATGGTCCGACTATCCGGCTTGAGGCCCTGTGGAAGGGCCGCATGCCACCGGACCCACCGTCTTTTCCGGTGCTGGTCTCCATAGCAACGGCGGCTGTATCTGGGACAGTCACTGTCTCTACGGCGATGCCTGGATCTAGGCCAGGCCCTACTTTGAGCACCGTCCCCATGGCAACCGCCACTGACTCTGGCCACCTCTGGTTGCCCAGGCCTGCTTGCATAGGAGCGCCGGCCGGCATGGCTCCTCTTCTAGAACTTCCTGCTCGGCCTGCGCTTTCCGCTAATCACGTTTTTTGACCTGTCCTGCCAGCCCTCGCAAGCCTGTGCCTCCTCAGTGGTGCCATGGCCATGCCTCGGGAAGGCCGAGCTGGGTCTAGAATTGCGTCTGGGGTTCTAGAAGAGCTGAGGCCCCCGCAACACCGACCGGGCGGCCATCGGATGACTGGTGTGGGCCCCCGTGCTCCCCACTGGCCCCTTGATTTCCCCGCCGGCTGAACCAGGGCAACATGCGCAGGGTGAAACGGCGCAGCAGTGTCGCTTTTCCCGGCCCTCAGGTTCCCCTAACGAACTCTTGTCCCGCTGTTCCAGAGAACTTCCTTTCCAGAGAATTTATTCCAGAGTTGTAGGCCCACAGCGAGAATTCGGCAACTTCTCGCACCGATTCAGCCCCATCAGTGAATATACCACTTCTGGTTCCGTTCACATCTTTAGCCCGTCTTTTTCCTCTTGCAAGGAACCCGGGGGCGGGGGGGGGGCAGGCTTCCAGTAGCCGCCTCTTCATTTTATCTTCACGGCAACCCTGCAAGGCCGGTTGGGCCGAGAGTCCATGACCGGTGCAAAGTCACCCAGGGGACTCCATGTCAAGCGGGGATCCGTCTCTCCCAGGCCTCAGCTCGGCACGCTTAAGCACCTAACGGGTCCCTGCGTCTTTGGGACGCCGCAGACCGGAAGAGGTAGTGGGGGGGAACTGTGCAAGCCGAAGGCAGCGTGTGAGACAGAGGAGGGAGCGCAGGGGACCGCCGGCTTCCTCGGGGACGAGGGGCTGCCAGCTGCAGTTCCTGCTCATCGTACGTTCCAGCAAAACGGGGACTCTGGGGGAAATGGCCAACGCAGCCTGTTCCCAAACCCCGATGCGCAAACTGCCTTTATTTTTTTTAACAACATTCATCTCTTTGGTGGCCTGATGCTCCACGCGGGCCATCGAGGCAGAGAGTGGGGGGGGGGCTGCAGGGGGCAACAGCAGCGAAAGCTCATTTCCCATCCTAAAGCAGCCGGCATAGCTGCAGAGCAGCCCTTCTGAGCGTGCAAAGCTTAGAGCGTGCAAAGATGGGTCACACGGGGCAAACTTTATGGTGCATCTTGTTCCATTCTGGCAACGGAAATGGGTTTGTTTGAGGGCGATCTCGGCCAAAAGTCATCCAGGGAGCCTTCCAGCTAAGTGCAGATCTTGGCTGCCCCCCCATTCATCAGAATCACACATGGGGGGATTGTAGCTTTTTTCCTGTCCTGGCCTGTACAGGATTACACCCTGAACGGAGCACGGATTTAGTAAAAAGTGTCAGAAATCGGTCGCTTCGGGTACTTGCGATCAGGGCTTTCTCCAGCCAAAGGGCCGCATCGCCGAGTCAGGGCGATTTTCCCTTCCTGGGTTTGGGAGGAAGCTCTCCTTTGCCCGAGTCCACAGTGCGTCCCTGGCACAGGTGCCCCAGCCTCCCCCCCCTCCCCTCCCCTCCCCTGCGTCTGCTCTCCCTCAGTGCACCAATCCAGCCTTGCCGCTCCCGTGCAATCTGCTGACCTCAGCCTGCATGACTCACGAGCAAGAGAGGCCCGCAGAAATGCACACTCCCTCTCCGTTCTGCTCGGCTTGCCTGTCTGCACCGCCCCGTCCTCCCCCCCCCCCGAGCCCCCATTTCAAAGCCCCGGCCCATTCCTCCGCCTGAAGACGGCTCACAGAGCAACTTGATTCCTGGAATACAAACACAGAGCGAGCGCAGTGCCTCTCCCGGGGCTTTTTCCTGCCCCCAGGAGAGCAGGGGGCGGTGGGCGTGTGGGGGGGGGGCCCTTTTGTGCTTCCTCGCACCCCACAGTGGCTTCTTTTTGAGGCACACACGCTCCTCTCGTCATTCAGGGCAGATTTTTGCAAAGGCGTAGCTGATCTGCCGTGCAAGGGAAGTGCATCATCCGCAGATCCAGAGCCCGGCAGATGTGCTGGGGCCACAGCTGCCAGCAGGCCCCCCTCCCCCCCAGCCTGTTCCTTTGGACACATGCGAAGCTAATTTGCCACCAAAGGAGAAACTCTTTCGGAAGCAGGTCCCGGTCAGATCGCATTTGATCGCCTCGAGATGTCTCGAACGGGGCACTGATTCCCCCCGGGGTGTTCGTGACCTTTGCGGGCCTGCGGTGGGAGCCCACGGGCCGGGTGGGCTTCGGGCAGCGGGCACGGAGACGGCCTTTCGGCTTGCGTGCCACGCTGCCGTCCTCCAGCGGGTTCCCGAGGGGCCGTTGCAGTTTAAGGCCGGGCGGCCTGCGTGAATCTGGTGTCTCTGGGCCCCGACAGGTAGCGTGCAGAGGCTAAGCTCCTGGACTCCCCCCGGGGGGCCCGTGGGCCCCACATCCCCCCGCATCACTCGCACGGCAACCCGTATCGTCGCCATTAGTTTGCCAGCCCGCCCCTGATCCTCAAATTCCTCTCCCCCCATCGCCACCCTGCCGCTCCCTCCCCCTCTCCGGCACGCTCTCCCTCTTCGTCATCCAGACCCGTTTCCATAGAAACTCCCTTTCCGTTTGGATACTCCCGTCATAGCCAGGAAGGGATATTGTGTGTGCGTGCGTGTGAGGGAGAGCGACAGAGACAGAGCGAGCGAGCGAGAGTTCCCCTCAAGGAATTGTTATTGTATTAAGCACACATGCGCGCTCCCCCCCGCCCGTGCGCACACTGTGTGGCGTGCACTGTCGCCGCACGGTCCCGGTGACCTGTGTGCGCCTCCAGGTTGGCGCAAGGTCTGGGCACCTCCACCTAGGCCCAGAAAAGCCGGCGGGAGGCGGGGGGGCGCGGAGCGTGTGGCCGATGCAGGCGAGGCGAGAGACCCGGAGGAGGCTGGGGGGTCACCCGTCCTCCCCGCCCTCCCCGCTTCCGCACACTCCTCCGGTGCTCGCTCGCGGCAGAGGCTTGCAAATCCCTTCGGGCAGCAGGCTAAATCTGGCGGTCCAGGCAGGGTGCCAGCGCTTGGCACGCGGCGATGCCAGCCCGGAGGAGCCAGTCACAAGTGCCTGGGGCGACGGGGCGAACCTCTTGAACCGGCCTCTGTGCCGGCACGGAGTCGGAGTGGGCTGGACCAGCTCGCCGGCGCTTAATCCAACCTGGCACCAGACTCAGTTTCTTTCAGCCATTTTAGGCTGCCAGCTGGGGGAACTCCTTGAGCAAAATGGCTCCCAAAAGAACGAAGAGGGGGAAGTCTGGGGGGGAGGCGAAAGCAGCGCAGCGATGGCTCCGGCATGGAGCTGGGGGGCCGCTTTCCCACGGCCTGATCCAGCGCTCCCCGACCGGAGGCTCGAGGTATGTCGGCCTTCAGCACCTAGCACCCTTCAGCATGGCGCCCTGGGGGCTGCTGGGAGTTGTTGTCCGCCACGGCCCGTCTGCACTGGGGCTTCTCTTCGCTGGGCCTCGGCCCGGCCCGGCCCCGTTTGGCGTGGCTCCCGCCGACGGCACTGCAGCGGCCCTTCTGAAGCAGCCGGGAGCAGCGCCGTGCATCTCCAGGGTTCCCTCCCGGTCCCCAGAGCTCGGCAGCTTCCCATCGCTCCTTCCTAGGCAGGGTCTTTAGTGGCAGGATTTTTCTAACAGACCTCCCTCCTAGCCTGGCTGCCCCCTCTGCTTCCACACATTCTTCGCCCAGCTCTCTCAGCTCACACATCGCCCGTTCTGCCTAGGCCTGCTGTGCCTGCCTCAGATCCGGTATTTCTGGTTCACACCCTTCCTGCTTCACCTGCAAGCGCCGTCAGCCTCCCCAGGACGCACTCCGTCCCAGTTGCAGGAAAAGTCCCACCCTCCTCAGAGGGAAGCCCATGAGTTCTGGTCCCTGCCCCTCCGCAGACAGCGCCCTCCGCCCATCGGGTCCCCCCGTCGTCGTCCCCGAGGTGCGGCCGGCGCCATGACGCCTCTTTCTCATTCTGCAGGGCTGAGAGCGCGCGATGGCTCCCGTCGGGGAGGTCACAGACAGCTGCCACGCCGGCTCGCTTCTGCTCCAGCTGAACGAGCAGCGCCTGAGAGGTCAGTTCTGCGACATCACTGTCATCGCCGAGGAGACCAAGTTCCAGGCCCACAAGAACGTCCTCGCGGCCTCCAGCCTGTACTTCAAGGAGGTGCTCTTGGAGGAGCCGGCCTGTCGCCAGGCCAGCCAGATCCTGGAGCTTCCCGGCATCCCGGCCGAAGTCTTCTCCGACATCCTCAACTTCATCTACAGCTCCCACCTGCCGGTCCCCAGCCTGGCTGCCGCGAAGGAGCTCGGGGCCGCCGGCCGCCGCCTGGGCATCTCCCGCCTGGAGAATCTGGATGAACTGCCCCTCGAGGCCGAGATGGACGACTCCAGCGTGGCTTCCTCCAGGCTGTGCAGCTCGCCGATCGACCTCACCTGCCCTTCCCGCTCGACCGAGCCCTCCAGCCCGCTCTGCTTCCAGGACTTGGCCAAAGCACCCACGCCCCTGCAGGACACGCGCCCCGACACGGAGACGGAGACGGCCAAGATCCTCTACAACCTCAGCTCGGTGGCCCCGGTGCCGCCTCCGCCACCCTCCGACCTGGCGTTCATGCTGAAGGGAAGCGTCAGCTGGGACCGCGACAGTCCCCACGGCAACCCCTCCGTGACCCCCGGCAACGAGGAGGCGGCCCAGGCGCCGGCCTCCTCCTGTGCCTCCCCGTCGGGGCCTTCCTTCCCCGCGAGTAGCACTTTCTGCTGCGGCAGCTGCGGCCGCTCCTTCTCCACGTCTTCTGCCCTGAGCCTCCACATGAAGCTCCACCGGACGCGGCGCTCGCTGTCCTGCCGGCACTGCGGGAAGAGCTTCATCCACATCAAGCGGCTGCAGACGCACGAGGTCGTCTGCAAGGACGCGGAGAAGCCCGAGGAGGGGGCCCTGGCGGGCGAGGCCCTGCCCAGCCCCGTGCTGCCGCCCAAGCCGGCGGCCGTGCCCGCCGCCTCCAAGAAGGGCGTGCCGTTCCGCCACCGGGCCCTGCCCCGCGTGGAGTACCTCTCCGAGCAGGACCACTTCGTCAAGGTGGTGGACGGGCACATCATCTACTTCTGCACCGTCTGCGAGCGGTCCTACATGACGCTCTCGAGCCTGAAGCGCCACTCCAACGTGCACTCGTGGCGGCGGAAGTACCCGTGCCGCTACTGCGACAAGGTCTTCGCGCTGGCCGAGTACCGCACCAAGCACGAGGTCTGGCACACGGGGGAGAGGCGCTACCAGTGCATCTTCTGCTGGGAGACCTTCGTCACCTACTACAACCTGAAGACCCACCAGAAGGCCTTCCACGGGATCAACCCTGGGCTCATCTCCTCCGAGAAGACGCCCAATGGCGGGTACAAGCCGAAGCTCAACGCGCTGAAGCTCTACCGGCTCCTGCCCATGCGCTCCCAGAAGAGGCCCTACAAGACCTACAGCCAGGGGCTGGTGCCGGACAGCCTCCTGCTCCCCGCCCGGCCGATGCCCATGGCGCTGGGGGACGGCGACTCCTTGGACGGGAAGCTGGTCTCCTCCCTGGGCACCGGCGACGTCGCCTCTGTCTTCGCCCCCGGCGGCGGCGGCTCCCTAGACTTGCCAGAGGCTGAACCGTTCCAGCGGCAAGAGCCCGCCGGCGCCTCGGAAAGGCCGCCGCTCCCGCCGGCGGACAAGAAGGCGGCCCCGGACAAGCGGCTCGGGCCGCTGAACCCGGCGGAGGTGCCCTCCGTCATCGCCTACGGGCGCCCGGCCTCTTCCGTGATCGTCCACAGCACGTCGGTGAAGTCGCAGCCCCCCTCGGTGATCACGTACAACAGCAAGTCGTCCGAGGCGCCCCCGGACACGGGGGGCCCCCCTCCAGTGCCTCTGCTGCCCCCCGCGGCGGCCAAGCCCCTCAAGAAGCAGGTGCTGAAGGAATACATCCAGGCGCAGAAAGCGGAGGAGGCGGCCCTGGAGGAGGGGGCGGGCGACCACGGCCCCCGGGCCAGGGGCCTGCGGGCCGGGCGGACCATGACCTACATGGCCAAGCCGGCCTACGTGGGTGCGGCCTCCGAGAGCCGGGGGGCCCCCCTCTGCCAGATCACCGTGCGCATCGGGGAGGAGGCCATCGTCAAGCGGCGCATCTCCGAGACGGACCTCATGCTGGACAAGGGCAGCCGCCTGGCGGGGCGGCGCTTCGACCTGGGCAGGGAGCACGGCGGGGAGAAGCTGCGGCCGCTGGGGCCCGCGCACCACGGGAAGCACGCGGACAGGGGCTACGCCAACGAGAGCGGCGAGGAGGACAGCGACCGCGAGGACCAGCTCTGGCGCCCCTACTACAGCTACAAGCCCAAGCGGAAGGCGTGTGGTGGCAGCGGCGGCGCCACGCCGAGGGTGAAGAAGGCTCGGTGGCGGCGGAAGCTGCGCTCCATGCGCTGGGTGAAGCGGGCAGAGAAGGCGGAGGAGGAGGAGGAGGAGGCGGCGGCGGCCACGGCGGCGGAGGAGGAGGCTGGTGAGAGGACCGGCGTGCCGGCAGAGGCGGAGGCGCCCGGAGGCCTGGAGGGCGGTGCCTCCGAGGGCGAGGGGACCGACCTGCCCCCCAAACCGGGGGCCGGGCGCGGCTCGGAGTGGAAGCACGAGTGCGGCGCCTGTGGGAAACTCTTCTCCGCGCTCAAGAAACTGAGGAAGCACGAGCGCGTGCACGGGCGTGCCGGCAGGGACGACCCCTCCCTGGCCCCCTTGCCGGTGGCTCCCCACCGCGTGGGCCGCAAGCCTCTGCTCAAGTTCGCCTGCACCCACTGTGCCAAGGTCTGCAAGACGGCCGCGGCCCTGAGCCGCCACATGAAGCGGCACGAGGGCCAGCAGCCGGAGCAGTCGCCCCTGCCGGCGCTCACCACGGTCATCGCCTACTCCAAGAGGAGCGCGGAGGCGCCCCCGCCAGCGCCGCCCCCGGCCGTCAAGGAGGAGACCACGCAGGAGATGCAGGTGTCGTCCTCCAGCGGGGAGGCGCCCGTGGCCCTGCAGGACGCCGCGGGGGCGGGGCCCGTGGCCAGGGAAGCGGGGCCCTACGAAGGCCGCCCTCTGGCGCCGGTGCCCGCCGAGGAGGACCCAGCCCTGCTGGGCAGGAGCAAGTCCCCCTTCCCGGAGGAGGTTGCCGCCCACCCCTCGCCGCCCACGGGGGGCGCCACCAGCCTTGCCCAGGGGCCCCCCGGCCTGCCGCACTCCCTCCAGGACCCCGTCATCTCGCACACCGGCCTGGCCCAGAAAGAGGTCCTGGTGCCTCGGGACGTGGAAGAGGAGCCGTACCCCGTGCAGGAGTACCCCCTGCCACTGCTGGTGCCGGGCAGCTGTCGGACCAGGAAGGACCTGGAGGAGAAGCCCCCGTTCCTCGCCTACCCCAGCGCGATCCAGTTCAACGCCATGGGCAAGGCGGGGGGCAGCGACGGGGACGGCAAGGTGAGCTTCTACCAGGATCCGTACCCGCTCATGTACGGCCACCAGCTCCTGGCCGCCTACCCGTACAACTTCACGCTGCCGGTCGCTTTGAACATGGTGGTGCCGGACGACAAGGGGCAACCCCTGCCCTTCCTGCCCAGCGTCTTCAGCTACGCCATGAACCCCTGCCGGAGTGAGGCGCATGACGGGGGGGCCGCCTCCAACGGGGGCCTGGCCATGGGAGGCGGCCCGGCCCGCGAGGGCAGAGGCGACGGGGCCTCGGCGGAGAGGCTGAAGAAAGGGACCCTTCTGTGAGGGACGCAGGGAGGCTGGTGTGGGGGGAGGCACGGGGGGTGCGGGGCAGGGGAGGGCGGGCGTGGCGCGACCCTGTCCCGAGCAGGGGCTCCCGCGGAGGGCCGAGCCGGGGCCTGCACCCCGAGCTGAGCAGGGGCTCCCGCTGGCTCGCCCGCACCTTCCCTTCGCGTTCGGGCCATGCTGAGCGGGCACGTGGTAGGTAAGACTTTTAACAAATAGCAAAAACTGGTACAGGGTAATTCCTCGCCCCCTCCCCTGCCCTCCCCTGCCCTGCCCTGCCCTCCGCCCCCCAGGCCCCCCACGAGCAGACACAGTGGAGAGTGAATTTGCACAACCGCCGCCGGCGCGCCTCCCACCCCTGCTGGACGTGCCGCTGCTGCGCGGGGCCCGGGGCGCCGTTCCTCGCCCCTCCAACCGGCCCGGCTTCACCTGCCCTCCCTGCCGCTCTCTCTTTCTCTCTCCCCTCCCCGCCCGCCGCGCATGCCTTCCCGGGAGGCGGGGGGGGGGGCTCGTGGCACAGCTGCCCCTTCGGCGTTCCCAGCCCCGTGCCCGCCCTCCCGCAGAAGCGCCCGGGCGGCCTCCGCCTGCAGCTGGAGAGGCTGCTTGTAGTTTTTAGTGGGTGCGTTTTGTTTTGCAGCCTGCGAGGATGAATCACATTTTCCTCTCGGCCGGGGGGGGGGTGGAGAGCGGGGGGGTGTTGCCGGAGGCATCCTGCGCAGCGCTGCGGAACCCAGGGACCGGCTGTGCGTTCTGGTCCTCCGGAAGCGTCCCCAGCCCCGAGGGCGAGAAGCCGGCGAGGGAGGTGCCCGGAAACCCGCGCCTGGGCTGCCCCACCCGGCGCCCGTCTTGCGGGGGGGGGCAGGAGTTGCAGCCGAGCCCCCGGAGCGCCCCGGGCGGGGGGAGCAGGAGGCGGCGGCCTCGTTCGGCGGGGTGGGGGGCGAGCAGACCGGATTCCACTGTGTACTCTTGATTTTAGTATTTTGCAAAGCTCATCTCACCCGCACGGGGGGGGCGGTCTTTGGCCCACTTAGCAGACCTGCCCCTATTGGCCCGCCCCACGCTTCAGTCCCCGTCCCAAGCAGCACAAAGGACAGCCCCCCCCCCCCGAATTCCCCAGGACAAGTGACCTACTTTGGCAACTGGGCCATTTCCATTGTATTCAGCGGTCAGCCTAGCCTCGCATTATCTCCCGTTTTCAAGAACTCGGCCCGGCTGCCTACCTGGGCCGGGGGAGCCCTTGCATAATACGCGGGGGGGGGGGCGGGGGGCGAGTGCCGGAGCGCGGCCTTCCCTCGGTCCTGTGAAAGCCTTCCGGACTGAAGGTTTTGTGCATGACGAAGCAGCCCATTGAACGCAGCGGTTGCGCTGCGGGCAGGCATGCGCCGCCCCCTCCAGGAAATGCCCACTCGGGCAATAAAATGTCGTCCTTCCTGGCACCCCCCCTTTTCCCCCTGCTGCAAACCCAAAACATAAGTACTGAATATTTTTAGGATAAGGGAAAATTGAGCTCCCAGTGCTGCATTCCAGAAGAAAACTTGGGCACATTTGGGGAAGCAAAACTTTATTTTTAACAAAGAAAACAAAGCAATTTTCCCATTAAAAGCCAAAGGTTAATGTAGCGTACGTTAAAAAAAATACCCTTGGCCAATGGTTCTTTCGCTCCCCCCCCAGATGAAAAGCTCATAAATTTAATGTATCGACCTCTTTCAGGACCAAAACCATAGAAATGGAAAAGTGGGTGAGGAGCGGAGAGAGAGGAGAGATACCTGGCACGTGCATGGGTAAGAAACAGGCTTTTGGAAAACAAAAGGGCCTTTTAAGGTATAAAAGGGGAGGAAATCCAGACTTTTGCCTCAAGGTTTACGAGATCAAAGAGGGCTGGGAGACGGTTGCTCCGCGAGCCCTTTGGACGCACAGCCCTTTCGAAGGGGTGGAGATCAGCCCGTCTCCATGGGCGGCGACCGGGACCGGCGAAATCCCCTCCCGCTTCCCCAACCCTGCCCCCCCCCCAGGTCAGCTCCCTGCCTACTGCTAAAAGCCTAAACGTTCCCGCTAACTTCACAGCCCCCTCCCCTCGTGCCCAGACCAAGATCAGGCCAATTTGGCCCGGAGGGGGGCTTGCAGCGACCCCCTCCCTCCCTAGTTTCCAAATGCCTCGCCTTTTCCTGACGGTAAGGCAGCCCCTTGCAACCTGGCGCTCTGGGCAGGGGTGCTTCTGGGAGTTGTAGTCCAATAAGCCTGGACGGCTCCAATTTCCAGAACACGGCCTTTAAGACCCACGAGGCCCCCTGTGACTGACGCCCCAGCTCTTGGTCGCTCTGCGGGCCCGCGGTAGGGGCCCCTCTCCCCGACTTCCTTGGGCTGGAGCAGTGGCCTGCCCTTTGGCACATACAGAAAGGCGGCAGCAGTAGTGAGCGGGGGGGGGGGGGGCCCCGGGCCCCTTGGTCGCTGGGGGGGGGGGTCCAATGTCAGCTTTGCTTCCAGAGAGGAGGATTCCACTGTGATATTCCTGGGGGGGGGGGGTTGTGGCCTTTCACCCGTTCTGAGAGACCAATCGGAGAGGGGAGGGCTGTAGGCCGCCAAGCAGCCCCCGCCGCCGCCCCGCCGCCGAGCAGCAGCGTGGCCCCGCGTGGCGTGGGAAATGCGCACTCTTCCGTTGCCCTGCCCGCGCACTGCGCCACGCAAGCCCCCCTTCCCGCTGCCGCCGCGCGCAGCCGCCTTTTCCACCTTGCAAGGGAGGCGCGTGCACCATTGCACACTCGCAACGAGGCCTCGCGCGCGCCTCCCCGCTTTACTGCAGCAGAATAGGGGAATGCACATTTCCCCGCGCTCCCCGTCCCCTCCGCTCCACTCCTGTTGCAATGACGTCTTTCTGTGGGCCCGCCCCCCCCCCCCCGCGGCACTTCGCGCTGCAACCCCGAATGCACACGCTGCGCAGCCGCTTCCTCCCGCCTGCTCCTGCGGGCTCCGGTTTGCGGCAGTGGCGCTCTGGCGCGTCCGTCCTGCACTGCAGCAAACGCACCTCCTCGCTGCCGAGAAGGCGCTGCCGGGGGCACTTCCTCGTCCCCCCCCCCCTTTCCGAAATTTTTCCCCACACGAAGGCGCGCCGCTCACCCCGCCCCCCTCCAGCGGGCGGCCCTTCCCGTTCGCCCCCGGCGCCCCTGCCGCCCCCCCCCCCCTTTCCCAGCTCCCCCTGGAATGCGGGGGGGGGGGGGGGGCGGGCGGGGAAGGCAGGGCGTGCGCGCTCGTGTGCGCGCAGGCGACCGACCGGCCGTCTCCCTGCCCCCCGCCCTCCCGAGCCGCCCTGCAGGCCGCTGCCGCGGGAGAGCCGGCCCCGGGCGCTCCGCCGTGCAGCGCCGAGCCCCTCCCGGGCTGGCGGTGGCCGCGAAGGCGCCGCGACAGCCCCGAGCACGCTTCCACACTTCAGGCGGGGGGGGGGGCTGCTGCGCACTTCTTTCCCTCCCGCCCGCCCGCTCCGCCGCGGGCCCTTCATCCTTGCAAAGCAGTTTGGATCGCGCCCCTCCCCGCCGCCTCGCCGCTTCGGCAACTGAGCAAGCGATGCATTTCTGCGTCCCAGCATGTGCATGGGGGGGGGCCCTCCCCGTGGGCGGAACCGGGCTGGTGATGCCAGAGAGAGCGCGAGAGGGAGAGAGAGAGAGCACCAAAGGCATTTTGGGATGGTGCCCCACCCCCTCCTCTGGGGGGGTGTTCTGGGCCACGGGGGGAGGGGGGCGGTGAAGGGCGGTGGCTGATATGTACATAGCTGTCCGTCTCTCCGATCTTTTGCACTTTGTCACTCGGGGGCTCTCGGGGATGGTTGGCCGTTTGCTACTGAATGTAACTTGTCTTATTTTTTATTTTCTAGAAGCACCTCTAGCTAGTTTTATGGCACTTTAGAGATTTACTGAAACCGTTTAAGGAGGAAAAAAAGGAAAACTATACCAAGGGTTAAAAAAAATAGAAAAAACCTACAAGAAATGTTAATAATAATGATGAGGGTGAGGATAAATAATTTTTGCCGCTTTTTCCCGGTCTCTGTTCCAAGTGTGACAGTGTGAAGAGTCCGTTAGACAAATACCGTATTTATCTTTCTGCATCTTTGTGTGTAACTCCAATAACTTCTTCAGAATAAAAAGACAATTATACGCTCTGCACAAAACTGTTGAAACACCTGGGCACCGCTGTGCTGAGAAGCCGGGGAGAAGACCCCCGGCCCGAGCTGGGGTGGGTGGCCACGCTGCAGGTGGCGTGTCTGGAGCAGGCCGAACCCGCTGGCCCCGGGCACTTTCATGAGCAGCTACGCTGCTTCCAGTCCGGTTCAGAACCTGCGGCTTCCGCCAGGGGTGTAGTGGCCCCTCCAGTTCAGCCTCAGTTGCCAGCCGGGTTGGCAGCCGCCGCTTCTGCGGTTTGGCACAGGTGCGGATGCCATGGCTTGCACCTAGAGGCCCAGGCCGGCCTGCGGGGGGGGGGGGGGCTTGTGGATTGGGTGTTGGGGTCACTTTGCTGCCCAGCCTCGGGGGACGGTTTGGGCAAGACGACCCATTTCTTCAGCACGTCACTGCTTAGAGCAGCCTTGGGTGAAGCGGCTTCCGGTAAGCACAGGCCGGCCACGGCTGAGGCAAAAACCCCGAGGTGATGGGAATTGCAGTCGGACACGTGTTGCGGGAGCCAGGCTGGGCAAGGCAGATCTGGTGAGGCAGAAGTGCCTTTTCTCGCTGGTTTTTCCCCTGGAGCAGAAACTTTTCCCGCAGATCTGTCCTTTTAAACCAGGCAAGTGTTACTGGGCCTCCGTTAAGAGTTTCTGCTTGGCCTTGGGACCAGGGGAGGGCGAGTGCCGAGAGGGCTGTTTTCCGCCAAAGCACCTGCCTGCCAGAACGAGGTGCCGCTGCGGTTTCTGGCTGCTCCGGGTCCAGTCCTGCCATCGTTGCTCGGTCTTTGCCCCCACACTTAAAGCCCTTTCATGCTGTTGCAACTCTACAAACGGCCACTTGGCCTGGGATGGGGTTCTTTCACCTTACCGAGAAATCTGGAAGGTGTGAACCCGTGGCCGCCAGGCCTGGGGCCTCGAATGGGTGCAGCCCTTTCCCTGCCAGCCAGGAGAGGCAACCTGAAGCCGGCACGGCCACACTTTTGCGGGGGGGGGGGGCAGCCACTGGGGAGCCCTCCAAATTCCTGGGAGTGGGGAGAGGGTAGCACAGACGCAAGCCCCCCACAGAGGCCGACCCATCTGCTGCAAGAGCGACGACGCGACTCCGTGGGCATGGAGTGGAGGAAGAACTCCAGCACGGCAGGCAGATGGAAGGCCCCGGCCGACAATCCCTCCTCAACCCGGCGCCCTCTGGACGTGTTGGACTATAATGCCCATCACTGCCGGCTGGGGGTGATGGGCGCTGTAGTCCAGGATGTCTGGGTGCTGCCGGGCTGGGGAAGCATCGAGTGGCGGAACGGTGCCTTTCTTGGAAGTATCCGGCACATACTCGGCGGGAGACGGATGCGGTGCGCGGCCGAGCCCCTGCAGGCTGGAGGAGGGAGCTGGGGCCGTGCGCCCCCGCGGGGAGGGCCGGGCCGGCGCCCCTGCGCTCGCGCAGCTGCCCAAGCGGCGCGCCCCGGAGCCGCGGCCAGGGAAGGCCCCGCGGCGGCCCGCGCGACGGCGCTTTCTCGCCAGGGGGCGCCCTCCAAGCGCGCGCCCGGCTTGGCAGATGCGCGGCCGCAGCGCGGCTCCGCGGACCGCCAGAGGAGGCGCTCCGCCCCGACAGCGCGGCTACCGGGGGCCCCGGCGGGCAAGGAGCGCGACTCCCGCGGGGCCCCGCGCGCCGGGGGCGGATGGCGGCGCCCGCCCGCCCGCGCGCGCGCGCGCAGGGGCCGCGGAGACGAGGGGCCCAAGTCCGGCCCGCCCCCCTCCCAGGCCCGCGTCCCGCCGCCGCCCTTGACCCGCAGAGTTTATGTCAACAGCCCTTCCCGCCGGTGTTTGCTCGCTGCAGGCTCGGCCGCGGCCCCAGTCCCCGCAGAGCCTGCGCCTCGGCAGCTCCCGCGCCCTCGCCTCGCCGCGCCGCGCCGCGCCGCGCCGCCATGCTCCCCGCGGCGGCCCGGCGGCTGCTGCTGCTGCTGCTGCCGCCGCTGCTGCTGCTCCCCGGCCCCCGCGCCGCAGCAGGGGAGATGGCCCAGGAGGTGGAGGGCGACGGCAGCGCCACGGTGAGTCGGCGAGGCGGCCAGCGACGCGCACCCCCGCCAGGGATCCCAGCGCGCCGCGCAGGGCTTCGGCCTCCCTTGGGGCGTGCAAGGCCCGGCTCCCCGCGGGCCTCCAGGGCGGCTGCTCCGGGCCGTCGCGGCTGCTGCGCCGGGGCAGAGAAGCCCCGCTCCGCGGCGAGCGCCGGAGCCTGCGGGCTCGCCCTCGGAGCGCGTTCCTGGGGGCGCTGGGCTTGCGGGGCAGTGGTAAATGCAGGTCAAGGCGGTTTCTCCAACCCGGGGCGTCCAGATGCTCTGGGTCACGGTGTCCACCATCCCACAGTGATGGGCCCAGTGACCAAGGATGATGGGTGCTGCAGTCGACCCATCTGCGGGGACGGCGGGTGTGGCCCCGCACCCTGTTTTGATGAGCTGAAGGGTTTCGGCACAAGTTTTCTTACGCCCAGAACTTGGGTCAAACCCTGAGCGGTCTGGCGGGCGCCGGGCAAAAAAGTAAAAATGCATTTTCCCACAGGGGGAGGGGGAGGACCTTGCCCGTGGAATTTCTGCCTGTTTTGCAGCTCGTCAAGCGTAAAGGCCCGCTCCAGGGCTTCCTTTAGAGCCGGTGCACTCTGCATGCGCTGGACGCCTGCTCCCCTGGGCTGCAGCCAGTGGCCGCGATTGCTGGGAGCTGTAGTCCGGCTCCCCTGGAAGGGACCCCAGTGGAAAAGCCCGCCCGGCAGGCTCCGCAGCCTCGCGGGGGCCCCCGCGCCTGCAGGGGATGACCGCCGAGTTTCTGCTCCCTGCGCGGCTGCTCAAGGGGCGCCAGGCCTGCCTGGGGCGAAGGATGACCTCCGAAGGCGGCAGCTCCAGCTTTGCACGGCGCAAGGTCATGCGGGGCTCTGCAGACTCCCCCGGCTTCGAGCCGCCGTTTCCCGGGGCCTTGAACAGCCTTTGTCATTCCTGTTCCTAAATAGACCAATACGTTCTGGCGGGTGGAGGACTAACTCGCAGAAAATGCCAGATTTCTCCTTGACGGCACTGGGCCCCGCACCCCCCCAAAGGCTGTGCAGCGCTCAGTCCACAGGCGCCGTTCCCGCGAGGCGGAGAGCACGAGAGAAATGCTGAATTGGCCGCCTCTCGAAGCCGCATCGCCATCGGGCCCGCGATTAATGAATGCATTAATTTTTCGAAGTTCTTCCCGGGGGTCACGTCCGAAAGTTTCGCGGAGCAGCAGCGCCACCGAGTGGCACTTCGGCGCAATGCGCCCCGCGCGCCTCTTCCGGCCACAGCGCCGCCTGCTGGCTTCCGCTGGCAATGCAGGTCCAGGCGGCTCCGGGTGGGTCGATGCTGCCGCCCAGTGGCCCGCGGCGGGACTAAGGGCCGTTCTCTCTTTCCCAGTATGGCCAGTGCTTCCAGTCCTTCCCTAATGAGGTCCGCGCTCTGAACCTCGGACAGAGATGGGGGGACCCCTCCCCAACAGCCACTATGCACATTGATCTGCACACAGTGACAAGGTAAACGGTGCTGGGGGGGGGGATGTCGCAGCACCCTCAAGGGAAATTCGGTGGCTTTGACTGAGCGAGACGGATTCCTGCAGGATGCCTGGAGGCTCAGCCGGCGCATTTGCTTCCACGAAGACTCAGTGCTGGGCAGCAGTGTGTGTGTGTGGTGTGTGGAGACAACTCAGTGGTCCAGCGCATCAGTCACACAGGTGCCGTTGTGCACACGGGTCCCAGCTGCAGCTCTGGCATCTCCAGCCATGGGGCGACCCCTTCCTGAGGCCGGAGGGAGCCACTGCGGGGCGCACCCAGGCAGGGTGCAGAACCTCGGGGCCCGGGGCCCATATTGGCCTTCCTGAGGTCCCCAGAAACACCCCAGGAGCTTGACCCCTATCCTGCTGGTCTCCAACTCCTTCCCCACAACCATCAGTCCTTTAATGGCTTCCCAATGTTTGCCTGGTTTTCCCCCAACTCTAAAGGGCTAAAATGCATTTTATTAGCATTGTGTTGCGTGTGTGTGCCAGCACAAGTGGCTTCTGCCATCCTCTTCCTCCTCCATTTGATCCTTTTTTTAAAAATAAGTTTTATTTGAAATTATAATCCTAAAAAGACAAGAAGAAAACTACAAACAACATCCATCATCAAAAACATCGGGCCCGCTGGGTCAGCCCCCACATCTTTTTCCATTTATGATAACTTAAAAACATATTTAAATCTATGTGAAGTCCTGTTTCTCTAGCCAACAATAAAAAGACTCCCAATTTTGATAGAAGTTCCGTTTCATCCTCTCAACAACAGCCCTGTAAGGTAGGTCAGGCTGAGGAGCAGTGACTGGCCCAAAGCCATCCAATGCATTTCGTGACTGACCGAGTGGGAAAAGAACCCGAATAGCTCGAGTCTTGTGCCTTCACCACAAAGGAAAACCGTTCTTCAGGCCAGGTTCTTGGCACTCTTACCTGCAACACATTGGCATTCCCGGGCTCTGGCCCCGCCCCCGTTGCCTTCAGCCCCGCCCACCCCTGCAGTACGGCCCTCGAGAAACACAGGATCCGGCCCGTGGGCTGACACGGGTTCCGCACCCGTGGAGCGGCCAGCACTTGGGAAGAGAGGCTGCTCCGGCTGAACCTCTGCCTGTCGAAAAGCAAAAACCTTCCTGCAGCGAGTGATGCAAAGCGTTTAAACGGAAGCGGGGAGGCAACAGTGAGCCCCCTCGGGGCCCATCGGTGCCTGAACCCCCATCGTCCACACCCCAAGTGAGGCTCGGCCCCGATTCCCGATGCCCTCTCCCCACCCAGGGCCTCCTCCTCCTTCGACTTCCGCACGTTCGACCAGGAGGGCGTGATTTTCTTCGGGGACACCCAGCCAGAGGTCGACTGGTTCATCCTGGCCATGCGCGGGGGGAAGCCGGAAATTCAGATCTTCAACAATGTCACCAAGATCACCGTCTCCGGGGGGCCGCGCATCGACGACGGGAAGTGGCACCAAGTAGGTCCCCTCTGCTTCGGCCCGCGCCATCCGGGAAGGCGCGTCTCACGCCGCGGTTTCTGCCTCGCGCCCTGCGTTCTGCCGGCGCGGATGTGCAGCCGGGCCGGATCGGGCGCAGGTGGCGCTTTCGCTCACGTGCCGGCACCCGCCCGCAGGCCCCGCTCTTGAGCCGAGCCCCCCAAATCACACGAAATAAGGAATGCATCCGGGACTCCAGAGGCTGGTCTGCAGCCCCCATCATCCAGGGCCATAGGCCAGGCAGGCTGGGGGTGATGGGGGTGGTAGTCCAAGAAGCTCTGGGGAGCCGTGCTCCCGCAAACTGGGTGCACCTGTTCACGGGGCGGTCTTTTGAGCGGCCATCTCCTTTCCCGCAGGAGACCGCGGGGGGGGGGGGGGGGGGGGGCCGGGGCTGGCCTGACCTGCTTGTAAGTCCGCTCCTTCGCCCGCAGCTCATGGTGAAGAACGAGGGACACGCCATCGCCCTGGAAGTGGATGGGGAGATGCACCTGGCCATGAGTCACGTCTCCCATTCCATTGTCAGCCGGCCCAGTCCGTCGCTGCGCATCGGCGTGGGAGGTCTGCTCATGCCCCCGCGAAGACTGCTGGCGCCAGTAAGGCTGTCTTTCCTCCCCCGGTGGCGAGGGGCAGAGCTCCGTGGGGCTCCAGAGCCTCCCCGGGGCCCCACGGCGAGCCCCGCGGGTCCTCACACCGTGCCGGCCAGCGCTGCCTTGGCGCTCACGTGTTACGATTCTGTCTCATTCCTGTACGTCCCCATAGCACAGGCTCTCTGGGCATTTTACAGCGGTGCATAACGAGAAAAGAGTAACATGCACATGCGTGTGAAATGCATCTAAAATTACTAACTCGTGCAACAAAATGGAACCCGGCAAAGGATTTTTATCTTGTTTTCTGCAAGGGAGCTGAAAGACACACCTCGGGGGTTTGCGGGCCCCCCGTGCCGCAGCCTCGGCAGCCTGCTTTCGGCGAAAGAGCCGGTTCTGCAGCCCCGGCCTCCCCTTTAGCGCCCGGGGCCACCTTCCTTGTCTTTCGGTCTCCCCGGTTTTCCCTTCTGGGAATCGCCCTTTGGGGACTGGCCCCGTGCCCTGCAGCAGCCGTTCAGACGCCCCAGTGTGGGCTGTGACCCCGAGGTTAAAAATACGGTGGGGCAGAGCAGCTTTCCTGACATCCAACCCCCTCCAGCTGTGTTGGGCGGGGCCTTCCATTACTCCCACCCCACATGGGAGGTGTAGTCCAGCGCAAGAGGGACACCCTAAACCGGGCACGGCCGCGGCAAGACTCCGGAGAGCTGCTGTGGGGCTTCGGCACCGCGGGGAGTGGGCCGTGGCCCCCCGCTTCCCTGGCCTCTCCCCGCCCTCTGCAGCTGAACCCGGCCATGGACGGGTGCATGCGGCGCTGGAACTGGCTGAACAAGAGCCTCGAGTGGCAGGAGGCCTCGTCGCTGGAGGACAAGGGCACCAAGCGCTGCTTTCGTGCCGTCAGCCGGGGCAGCTTCTTCCCCGGGGACGGGCTGGCCACCTTCTCGCTCGCAGGTACTGCTGCGAAAAACGTGGGCCCGGCCTGGGGGCCGGCCTGTCCCTTCTCCGGGGCCGCGGGGCTGTGGGGTGGGTCTGGGCCCCGAGCAGCTTGCCCACCCGGCCCACGGCCAGGTCCTCGTGGGCCACAGATGCTCCTTGGGTGCAGAACCGAGGGGACGGTCTGTGCGGGAGCCTCCGGGGACCCGCCGGGCATTCGGCCAGCGCAGATTTGCTCGGAAGTGAGACACACCGATGCGAGGGTGACTTGCCCGCGAGTAAACGCACCTTGCACAGCACCGTTTGGCTCTGCTTGCGGGGTCAGGCTCACCGGTAGGGATTTGGGCTTTGCCCTTTCTCCCCCGAGGAAGAGCGGCCTTGTACAGCCTCCTCCGGGCAGGTCCCCCTGGCCATCTTGGCTGGGGCATCCTGGGGGTTGTAGCCTAACACGTCCGGAAAGAAAAGACCGGGATGGAGTGGCCGGAAACAAGACAGGCATCCCAGGGCCTAGTGCCTGCTTTCCAGAAGTTGCTTCTTAGCTCTCCGGGGCAGAGAGATGGGGCAAAACTGCCTTACAGATCATTCACCGCCTCCGCCTGGTGCCTTGCAGGAAAATCGCCCCACGCCTCACACGTGTCTTTGAGAACTGGCGACTGTCTTCCTGCAAAACCAGTGGGCGGGACAGTCTTCCCCAGGGTTTCAGGCTCAGCCCTGAGCCCGGCCTTTTCCCCGCCTGGACTTGCCTGGGAAGGTCCCCCGGGGTGCAGGTGCTTCGTGCAGGCAGAGGAACGGCTCGCGTCTGTCTCGGCAGCCGGCGGGGGCCGGCACGGGTCCGCGATCTGCTCCGCGGAGCAGGGCCTTCCCGGGGTCGTGCGACGCAGGCCTGGGGCGGAGGCACCGATCCGACCTGGTGTCGGTTGCGGCATTTGGGGGCCCTTGCAGGATGCCCTGAGGGTGCCCCCAGGGCAAGCCCCCTTCTGCCCCCCGGCTCGTGCCCGGCCGCTCTCCCAGCCGGCCACACGGCCTTTTCCGCTCTTCCCCCCCGCCACCGCTGCGGTCCGAGCTGGAGCATGAATGGGGGCTCGGGGAGGGGGCGCAGGGGGCGCTCTTCGTGGCCGTGGACGGTCCCCGGAGGCCGATGAGGCGGCCCCCAGCGTCCCGGCCGAGGTGCTCTCGTGCCCGCTACCAGGCGGGGTGGCAAGGGGGTGCGGCCAGTGCCCGACCCGTGGGTGGGGGCCATGGGGGGGCGGGCCTCGGCACGACTGTGCCCGCGTGGGTGGCGCGATCGCCTCGCCGTGAGGAACGGGCCGGGGGCCCCGGTGCGCTCTGACCGGCTGCCTGCCCTGCTCCGCAGACCTCTCCACGGGACGCAGGCCAGCGGACGGGAGCTGGGACCTGAGAGTGAGCGTCCAGGTCAGGGCCCCCCAGCAGGCGGCCACCCTGCTGGCTGTGGCCCCCGCCGGGCAGAGGCCGTTGCTGCGCCTGGACCAGCAGGGCCAGGTGAGAGCCGCAGGTGGGCCCCGCACCTCCGAACTGCGGCGCCCACGCCCCGAAGGCCGCAGGAAGCAGGCCCCACGCCCAGGGGAGGGCGCTGGTGGGGGGTGGGCGGGCAGGGCGGGACCCCGGCCCCACATCCGTCTCCCAGCACCCTAGGCAGCCGGGGGACACCAACGGACACCCCCCCCCCCGTGGCCTACTTGCCGTGCAGGGGGCATTTTTCAGCAGGGGAGGGGCCAAAGTGGGCGCCTCCCCCCCAGTGCCGGCAGTGCAAAGCGCTTTCCGCCCATGATTGAGTCTCGGGAGGAGATTCCGCCTTCCCGAAGGCACGTTTTCTGGGGTGGGAAGGGGCGGGGCCTGCTGGGGGCCCGGGGGGAGCGAGGTGGTCCTGGGCCATCTGCACGGGGCCCTTCCTTGCTCCAGCTGGACTCCAGCAAGGATGCTGCTGGCCCGTGTCCGGCTTGGGGCTTCCTGGGGCAGCTGCGGACGGCCCAGGCGGACACTTGGGGTGGGGCGGGGTGGGCTGCAGGACCCCCTCCGGAGGAACTGGAGACCTCCGCCTTGGTCTCCCGCCGCTCGGCGTCCTCCAGCTGGAACAGGTCGCAGGGACGGAGACCGCTCTGGGGGTCCTTCTCACGCGGCCCTCTGCCCCAGGACTTGGTCCTCCGGATGGGGAACGAGACGGAGCTTCGGGTCCCGCTGCCGGCGAGGGGCTGCCTGGAGTCGCACCTCTTCGTGCGCGCAACCTCATCGCAGCTGACCCTGACTGTGGACAACACGGAGGACTCCGCGCTGGTCCCGAAGCCGGAGTTTGAGAGCCTGCGGCGGGCCTGGCTCGCGGGGAGGGGGTCCCTGGTGATCGGCGGGCTGCCTGGTAGGTCCTCCCCCCCTCGGGACGGAGGGGCCACCGGCAAGCCTTGCTCTGGTGTGGCGGTGCCCTCCCTGCCCTGTGTCCTCCGTGCGGCTGGGGCTACAGTTCCCATCATCCCTGAGCATGCTGGCCGGGGAATGGGGGAGTTCCTCGGGCCGCCTTGGGGAAGAGCTGTGGGGGAACGGCCCGTCTCCGTTGCGAGTCTGTCCGGTCCCCACGTGAGGACCGCTTGGCCACCCGCCACGCCCCCGTTTGCGAGTTACACACTCTTGTGACACTCTGCACGAAGCGGGACCCATCTGGATGGGACCCCGGCAGCCCCGGGTCTGTGCCGTGGCCCCATGGGACCCCCGTGCCTGTGGACACCTGTCGGCTCCCTCCGCCCAAGTTCCTGGCCCCGCCTGATTGCTCTTTCGTGCCTTCTTAAAAAGCAAATTATTTAATTTTAAGCCAAGGCCGGCTGGGATTCTGCATGGCGAAGAGCTGCCCCTCCCGCTGCCCCGTCCGCCAGGGCAGAGAGAGATCCCCTTTTGGGGAGTTCTGCTTCCTAGGAAGCAGATGGCCGGTGCCCAGCCGGGGCAGCCCTTCTTTGGCCGCGTGAGCCGTCTGACGGCGACCCTCGGCGCCTGCTGGCCCACGGCGGAGATGTGGCAGGGACCGGCCCCGCCTCACCGCGAGCCCCGCGTCTCTTGCAGGACAAGACGTCTCGATGCCGGCCAAGGACCACGCCTTCTTCCGGGGCTGCCTGCGTGCCATCTTGGTGCACGGCCGCGAGCTGGATCTGGACGCCGTCCAGTCGCGGAGCAACTCCATCTGGGCCCACAGCTGCCCTGGGGAGGACGCCGGTGGGGACGGCGGGCACTGAGCGGGCACGGCAGGCCTGCCTGCTCGTCCCCAGCAGCACGCCCGCTCCTGGCCCAAGAGGGCCGTGTGGCACCGCCAAAACAGAGAACACTGGCTTACGTAACATTTACCCTTGCCAATATATACGTTCCGCTGCTAATTCAGAAATTATAACCATGATTAAAATAGAAAACCGATACATCTCGCTGTCACTGGGAGGACAGTGGCCGAGCGGCCAAACTCCTCTCTCTCCTGATCTGTCTTCTGGCCGCCCTTTGTCTCGAAACTGGACTTCAGACCGGGTGGCACCTCTTCAGCAGGAAAACACTTTAAAATAAAGGACTGTGCCACCTCTCCCAGAGGACCGTCCTTCGTAAAGTAGGGCACCTGGCCACTCTTTGGGGGAGGAGTGATTAAAAACCTGTCTGGCTGTTTACTCAAAAGAAAGCCCCACTGTTTCCCCAGGCTCATCGCCCCCGGCTAAGCAAGCAGTGCTGGGCAGCCTTACATCCTCGGAGCCAGAGGCGCCGCGTGGAAAATGTCTCCGATCGACATGTCTGGGCGGTTTGCTCTCGTCCTGACTCAGAGGCCTGGGCAGGAGGAGCCGTCGCAGACGAAACTGCTCTCTCCACACGCTGCGGCACAGTTTGTGGCTGTCGGGGAGGGAGGCGGAGCCGTGCATGATGGGGCTTGAAGTGCCATTGCCTCCACGTTCCCGAAATAACCCCGGCCCTGCTTGTTTTCCAACCCAGAAGGGGCTACCAAGTATTTGTTCCCAGATCAGAGGGAGCACTGCCTGTTTGTGTGATTATCAGTGGTTGTGTGAATGGCTTGTTAAAGTAACCTGCAGGTCCACCAGACCGGTATGTCGGGGCAGGGAAACCTCCCCATTTCCCCAGTCCTAGCTTCGGTCCTGAGCCCGATTCGGCTGCGGCACTTTTGAAGAACCCGCAGGGAACTGACGGTTCTCCAAAAGTACATCGTGGGAATGCTCATGTCGCATGTGGCCCCAAGACGCTTCCTGCCCTGGATGCCAAACCGAAGAGTCATGCAGATCCAGCCGCTTCTGGATTCTGAATCTTATTTATTAATCGGATACACATTATAATGGGCTGGGGTGAAGGGGTCACATGTTCAACCCATGGCGGCTCCCTTCCCTGGGTTGAAGCCGTGGCGTTTGTGGTAGGGTCCTCAGCCAGAGTTCACGCACGAAGGGAAGGTGGGGACCCCCAGAGACACACGTGCTCAGTCTTGATCCGAAGGGCACTCCTTCCGTCGTGCTTCCCGGATCCGTCGTGCCCAACACATCTGATTGCATCATGGCGGGGGGCGGGGGCAGGTGTGTGGCGACGCTGCCCAGTTTCTACAGGAAAACTTTCGAAGCTGTCCCGCTCGGCTCCAAGAATGTTTCTGGGAGTCGCACGCACCCTTCCCAGTCCAGCTTTGCGTCCATGAGGGCTAGAACCTTGCTCCCAAAGGACATGCCTCAAGCCGGCATCTTCCAGGTGTGTTGGATGGCAACTCCCATCATGCCCAGGGGCTGAACATGAGGGGCTCCTTGCCATCCGACACACCTGGAAGGAGGCGGGAGGGGCCTCAAGCCCCCCCCCCAGCGCAAGGTGCTCAGCTGGGAACGCCCCTCGGGGGCTGCCGTGGGGAAGGCCCGGGCCGGCGGCGCAGTTTCTTGGGTCGCTCGTGCCGCACTGGCGTGGGGCCTGCCCCAGTTTCCACGCGGAAGCCCAGAGCGCTTCTCAGCCGCAATGAGCAACAATCCAGTTTCTGCTTACTAGGCGGATGAGGCAGCCTCGCCCGAGACTTTCCCGGCTTCCTCCTCTGCTGCCTCTCCGGGGCCAGGAGAGAGAACTAATTACAGCGCAAGCGTAAAACGCACTAGAAATTGCCGAGCTGACTGCGGGGTCTTGCGGGTGGGGGTTGTTCCTTCTTCAACACCAGAGTGTTTTTCCCAATACAGAGCTGGGACCCGTCGCTGCCCTCCAACTCCCAGTGATGGGGTTTTCTTTCTTTCTCCCACACCCAGTGGCCTCCCCGGCCCTTCCCAGTCGCTCCCACTCCCTGGCTGCAAACGGAGCCATGGAGACCCGGGCGAACCTCCTTCTGGACTCCAGACTAGGCCAGGGAGCGCGAATCAGAGCCAGTCAGTGACTCAAAGGAAGGGAAGGGCCCGCAGGCGCATGCCCCAATTCTAGGAGGGCTGTGGCATCTAGTGGTTAGAGGAGGAGGAGGGCAACAATGGCTGCGCATCCGCTTGTCTCCCCAAAGGGAGGTGGTGCCAATGCGTTCGAGAACGAGGCCGTGTGTCCGGGTCCCTGGCTTCCATCCCCAGCGCCAGAAGGAGGCAGGCCCCAGTCGACTGCCCCAGAGGGGGTGCTGTCGCCCACGCGGGGGCCCCCCAGCGGAACACGCCGGAGGTGGCCCCGGGGGGCCTCGAGGTGGCGCGGCCGCCGCCCTTCAGAGCAGAAGGCAAGTTCCTGATTTGGCGGTGGCGGCGGCGGCGGGGCGCGCGTTGCGGTCCAGGTCCTGCGGGACGGACCCCTTGGCACCCCAGACGTTGAGCTCCCCGAAGATGCCCGTCTCGATCATCTCCTCCTGCCAGGGGATGGGGATGTTGCCCGTGGAGAAGTCGTCGTAGAAGGCCTTGTCCGTGTCGTCCAGCACGACGCCCTTCACCGTGGAGAAGGCGCCCACGTCCCCGATGTCCTTGGCGTAGACCACCTTGGGGTCGGGCACGAACGGGGGCTCCACCAGACCTGGAGTGGGAGCAGAGGCCGCGGCCCGGCGGTCCCGTCAGCGCCCCGTGGCTCCCCTTCCCTTCCCTTCCCTTCCCTTCCCTTCCCTTCCCTTCCCTTCCCTTCCCTTCCCTTCCCTTCCCCGGCCCGGCCCGGCCCCCGCCACCTGGCCGGGACGCTCACCTGCCTCCAGCCGGCCCCAGTTCATCTTCTGGAAGAGGGGGTGCTGCTTCAGCTCGGCGCACTCGTTGTTCTTGAAGCCCAGGCGCCCGGCGGGGTCCTTGGCCAGCAGCCCCTCACAGCAGGCCTTGCACTCGGCGCTGAACTTCTCCGGGTACGTGACCGGGTCGTTCAGGATGCGGCGCGTCACCTCCTTGTTCTCGACCTGCAGGGAGGCGAGAGCGGCGGGAGGCAAGGGCCCGGATGCACCACTGGCTTCTCGCTGCGCCGGGAGGGCGTGGGGCACCTGGGGGGTGCGTCCCCTCCGAGTGGGCGCCATCCTCCCCCGTCGGCCTCCCCAGCTGCGTTGGACTACAATCCCATGCCCCCTGCAGCCCCCGAAGGCCCGTGCACGCGGCTTGGTTCCGCAGGCGACAGTCCCCTCCGGATGCAGAGAGGCGCTGCGTGGTGCCTGAACGCAGCCTTTCCCCACAGGACACCTCCAGGCTGTGGGACCACAACTCCCATCATGCCCAGCTGCCCTCCTAGCTGCAACCTCCTTCTCCCACCTGGGTCCTCACGTGCCATTTCTGCACATGGGGGGGAAAGACCAGGACGGGAAGGGCACGTTTACGGCAACTGTGGGGGGCCCTCCACGAGCGCCGTGGGGACTGTGCGAGCCCGGGGAGCCAGGGGGGCCGCCTGGTGGCCAACCCAGGCAGGGCAGCTGAGGGGGCGGGAGAACGAGGCGACACATTCCCAAAAGCCAGCATCTCGGAGCCCCGGAGGGCAAAGTTCCGAGCAGAGCAGCGGGTCGCTTCAGACACCCGGGTGTGCTGCTTGTGGGGAGGATGCCCCCTCGGGTGGGCACCCCGGCTCGCAGAGCTGCGGGGCCAGGCCAGCCTCCCTTCCCCCTGCCCCGCCCCCTCCCCAAATCCTGTGAGCTGTGCTGCCCTCCCAGCAGCCGGGCCGCCTTGACCCACACACCGCTTTGGACCGACCCACCTTTGCCCCCTTCTTTACGTTTTCACGAGCACTTAATCAAGCATTCGCCCCTTTTCACCAAAACCCAGTCTGTGTGCTCCGGGGGCTCACGAGGGGCACCCCAAGTTCAGCCCACGCGACACTGTTTCAGCACCCGGGTCGCAAGCATCTTGCTGCGCAAAACTCCACCTGAGCGCAAAACCGGGTTTGCTTAACTCTCCCTTAAACCAGTTAAGGGGCCGCATCTGTGCGTAGGCCGACTTACCCAGAAAATGTGGGGTGAAAGTCCAGTTAGACTCATCTGCCTTTATGGCATCTAATTGAATATGCATTTACTTATCTGAATTCTTTTGTAGGGTTTCTTTTAATTCAGCAAACTGCTTCAGGGGGTTTTAACTCTAATAGGCAACCTATAAACATTTTTCAATATATACACAAAATATGAAATAGCAAATTGCTGGATTGCAACTGAAAGACCCTGGAACGGCCCAGGCTGGGGGCGATCGCGGTTCCCTCATTCCCAGCCAGCCTGGCGGCGGAAGGGTCCCGCAAGGGCCATACCTTCTCCCCGCGGCTGCGGAACGGTCCTTTTGCAGCGATCATCTCAAACAGGGTCACTCCCAGGGTGAAGTAATCGACGCTGGAGTCGTATTCCTCCCCTTTGAGGAGCTCCGGAGCCATAAATCCTGTGGGATGGAAAGGCAGAGGCGGTTCTAGCCTCTGTGGGGCCACAGTGGCCAAGGCCCTGCATGGGGGCAGCCCGCGCCAAGCAGAAACTGCCCACCTGGGGTGCCTGCGTAGCCCTTCGTCTTGTCTTTTCCTTCCGCTAATTCCACTGCCAAGCCCAGATCAGACAGTCGCACGTGTCCTGGCGGAGGAGGGAAAGAAAAAGGCACAGCACAGAATGCAAAAGCTGGAAATTCTAATCCAGAACGTCACTTCTTTGTTAATTTTTCTTTTAAAGGCATGTTTCTAACACTGGAAGGCACTTGTGCCGTTAATATTTACAGTCGGGAACACCTGAACCCTAAATCCATAGGGTCCCAGCATCCATAACTCTGCTTTCTAAGAGTCCACCTGGATTCTCAAATAGCAGTGCTGGAAGGGGCCGGAAGGCCATCAGGTCCAGCCCGTCCTGTCGCAGGACACCAAGGTACCCTCAGTCCTCAAGAAAAAAGCACACACCACTAATGCCCCCCCCCCCCGCACCACCTCTGCCTGGTCTGCTTTTAAAAGCCCCTTTCAAGCCAGTTTGGGGAGGAGTTGCTTTGTCCGGACCGGCAAAGGCATCCAAGGGCTCCAGGTGGGGAGGGACACTTAGCTGCTCCTGAGCCTGGGTGGATTCTGGGACAATAGCCAAGGTGTCAGAGGCTTGTTTTTAAGAGCGTGTGAAATCCGAACCGATGCTGGGAAGAGATATGTGTTTCCAGACAGAGGTGGGCGTTGCTGGCACTCCTGCTAAAATGAGGGATTTGCACCCTGACGCAAACTCGTTTTTCAGCGACTTCAAGGGCTGTTTGATGCAAGAGGTGAGCAGGGGGTGGGGGCTGCCCACTCGCTCGCCGAAATATTCCCGTTCCCCTGCCTTTAGCAGCAGGCAAATTGAGAGCCCCAGATGCCCCCAAAGAGTTTGGCTGCTTGTTTCTGCCGCTCAAGCACCCGTGGAAGCAAACGGCCGCTTGGCGCACAGGCACCGGGGCTCTTCTGCTGGCTGCAAATCTGCCACTCCACGTGTCCCGTGGCCCCCGGTGAAATCCCAGATTTAACCGTGAAAAGGGCCAGAACCGCCAGCCAGCCGGGGGCTGTTGGCAGTGCCGCTCCAAAGCCACTTTTCGGCCACAAAACTGCCGGAGGAGCCAGATGTGCGCTTTGATTCAGCACCTTTCCGATTCGTTTGTACCGGGAACAAGTTCGGACGACTCCAGCTTTGGGAAGGAGCCGCCGGCGCCTCGTGTTACCTGCGTCGTCCAGCAGCACGTTCTCGGGCTTGAGGTCCCGATAGACGATGCGGTTCTGGTGCAGGTGCTCCAGGCCGCAGATGATTTGTGCTGTGTAGAAAATGGCCCTGGCCTCTGAGAAACCCGGGTTCTTCTCGTCGACGTTGTACACGTGGTACCTGCGCGGGGAAAGGAAGTTTTCCCTAAGGCCAAGTTCTCTGTGAATTCAGAAGGGGAAGTTGTACAAAATGTCCAAGGCCAGGGTGGGGGATGCTCTGCTCTTCCAGATGTGGCTGAACTACACCTCCCATCAGCCCCGGCCAGTGTAGCCAATGGTCTGGGATGATGGGAGGTGGAGTAGAACAATGCCCATAAACTGCCCATCACTGGCAGAAGGGGTTGCGATCCAAAATTCTCCAAGCATGATTTGGGTGAGGGGCTGTGAGGAGTCCAGGGGGAAAGGGCCAGGGGGTGGGTGGCGGAAAAAGACCCCTGCTTCCCGAGACCCTGGAGTGGTGGGGCTGGGCAGGGCAAGGAATGTCCCATGGTGTGTAGCAACAACCTGGGCATGGGTTGAATAGGGGTTGTGGCTGAATCATGGGTTGTTGTTATGTGTGAACTATGGGCTGTCGATCACGCAGAATTGGTTTGTTGCTGACCGGAGAACCGTGGCTTGTTTGTGCCTAAACCATCATTAAGCCGTGCTGCAGAGTTCACACATAACGACAGCCCATGGTTCCATCGCAACAATCAGCCCCTGTGCGGGCTGCTATGAAGCGCAAGCCGATTCAGCACACCTGAGCTACATGGCAGCTCCCGTGATTTTAAAATCAGGCATTTTAAAGCAACATTTCAGAATAAAATGGACGGCTCGCACAGGCATGTCCAGCCCACTGTCTTGGACTACCATTCCCAGCATCCTCCACCCAGCCGCAGTTGTAGTCCAGTGCAGCTGGAGGGCATCGGGTTGGGGTGCAGGGCTGAGCATCGGTGGCTCCTTCTTGTTAGCGCATTCGTGCTCATGTGCAGGCGAGCAAGTTCCTCCACTTAATGAGTTCACTCGGATAGGCCTGGGTGGGAGCCGGGAGCCGAAGGGGTCAATTAAATGAGCCAGAAATCTGATACGGGACCCCCAAACATTACAAAGCAAAATGGGGAAGATCGAGGGCCCCGTCCCCTCCACTCCCTCCCCCCAGAGTGCCAAGCGGAGGCAGCGGGACCCGGCCTGGGGAGCCCGGCACCAGGCATCCCCCGGGCCCACCTGAGGTCTCCCCCATTCATCAGCGTCATGACGAGGCAGAGGTCCGTCTTGGTCTGGAAGGCGTACGCCAAGGTGACGATGAAGCGGCTGTGGACTTTGGCGAGGATTCGCTTCTCCACGATCGCGCCCTGCAACAAAACGGGCCAGACGTGTCCGGAGCCTCCGGCTGCTCCGCCCCGGCCTCTCCCCTCCTCCCGTTTTTGCCCCACGACCTCAAGAGGGGCTGCCACCTGCTTCTTGCGCCACAGAAAACGTGCGATCCCTGGGCATGGTCCACCTCTGCCTGCTTTTGCATAGTTTAACCTGCTACTCCTCGGGTGCTTTCTCCTGGCCCCGTCCTCACCGGGACTCCTAAAATGTCGCTACTTATCGGCGACACAGCGTGAAATCCTGTTTTTGCTGCCTCCAAGTCTGGAAACTTGCATGTTTTAGTTTTAGCGTTGTTCCAGCAAGGAAGCGGGCAAGCAAGCTGAGACACCAAAGAGACTAAATTTTGCATGGAGACCACAGAAAATTGGGCATGTGCACAGGCTGCTGGTTTCTGCTGTGGAAGGATATGGTTGTTGGTATCTGCCGTGGCTTTAATGCAGCCCCATCGGGCATCGCACAGTTGCTTCCCCCAACTTGTCTGCTATTGCAAAGAGGCCCCCAAAGTTGCCACTCGGGAAGGTGGGAAGATGCGTCCTTCTGAGCAAGGAGCGCTCAGACAGCGCCACCTCCTGGCAATTGCAGGGGCAGCCTCATGAGCATCCTCAATGCACTCTGGTGTGGTCCACTTTGCTCCAGCGGCTTTGAGGGCTCGAGAAGGATCGGGCCGAGGGTCCGCCTGATCCTGCATTCTCCCCCCACGGTGGCCCAAGCCACTGCCCACGGGCCCTACGGCAGGCCGGACCACTGCCAGCTGCTTTCTGTGCGGCTCTGAGTAAGAAAAACCTAGAGGACTTTTTAAAAATAAAGGTGGGCCACGAGTCGAACGGTGCCGTGGCAGCCCTGCGATCGTGTGGGCCTGAGCACGACCGTGGCAGTGCCTCTTTCTGGATGGGGCCACAGGGCCGCGTCTTGGATCCGTCCAGAATACCTGCTCGGGGAAGCGGTCCTCCATCTCCCCCCAGGGCGGGATGCATCCACCCCCCGCATCACGTCCGCAGAGGGACGTGTCAGAGGGAGGGCGCTGCCCCCACCGGGCCCCCTCCCAGCTGAGGAAGGATTGATGCTGATTCCCTGTGACAGCTGCGCTGCCGGACAAGGGCCCGTCTCGCGGGCGAGGCATCGCTAAGCCCCAAGCGTCTTTAGGGGCGTAATTGCCTTGGGGATTAGAATGGCTAATTTGCTGGGCTGGAAATAATCCGGGGGTGGGAAGTAGGTGGGTTATCCTAAAAGTGGGGGGGGGGGGCGTGGTGCGGGGGGAGGACATGAGGTGGCGGCAGGCCGGCTGCCCACGTGCCACAACGCACCTGGCTGGGAAGTGTCTCACGCGCGGGAGCATGCGGGCCACCCCTGAACCCGCACCTCCAAGTGCACCGGACTGCAGCACCCGTCATCCTCAGCTCTCAGAGCAGCTGAAGGCCTGAGGAGCAGGGGTCTGGGAGCAGAAGGACCATTTGGGGGCCAGTTTGCCTCTCCTCATGGGGAGCCCCACTGCCCCCCCCCCCGTGGGGCAACCCTTCAGATAAGTGGGGGGGGGGAGAGATGAACGTGGGAGTTGAGAAATGGAGGAAAGGGGCATCTTTTTGTCCATTTTCTCCAGACTTCTGCACTACTGGAGCCCTCTGGGCACCGTGGACTACAGGACCCATCATCCCCAGCCAGCAAGGGCCTTACTGTCCAGAAGGCACCAGGTTAGGGCAGGCTGAATGAGCCTGTTTATTACCCTTCAACCTCACCTGGTATCCACCACACCCAGGCAGGTCCCGGCGCCCTCCTGGGCCGGAAGGGGCATGGGGGGCCCCTGTCCAGTCTGGGGGGGCTGCTGCAGCCCAGTCCCCTCCATCCTGGCTTCCAGTCTGGCTTCAGCCGGCTCCTCTGGCCTGCCTTGCCCCCGTGGCGGCCCGCTTGTCCCAGTCCCAGCTGCGGAGCTGGCCCATTCTGCCCTGATGCCTTCCCAGCACCGTACTGGGCCCTGCGTCCGCACACTGTGCTGCCCCAGCTGGGAAAGTGCCGGGAGGCAGCAGGCTTCGGCGCCCATTGTTAAACACAAATGCAGAAGTGGCTAGATCTCATGGCTGCATAAAAACCGGGAGGGAGGGCCAAGGGAACCAGGCAGGGTTCCTGCTGCAGCACTTAACCCCCTTTTCCATGGCTAGAATTGCTCACCCTGGCTTGTCATGTCGTGGGAACCCGCACAGGATCCTCTGACACCCCTGCCACCCGGTTTTGCATGCCAAGACGAGCCAGGGCGAGCCAGGAGGGCACCCGTGGGCACCTGGCCCGAGCAGCAGCCCCGGCGAGACTCTCGCAACGCAGCTCAGCGTGGACCATGGCGAGAGCGTGGCCCGGGTCCCAGCCCCGCTCAGGCCACAAGAGCCGCCTTGGGCAGCCACAGGCCTCATGGGAGGAACCGCCGGGCCGAGAAGCCGCGCGCCGGCGTCCAGCTCACCTCGTAGCCCTGGCGCTTCTTCAGCCGCTTCTTGTTCAGCCGCTTGTTGGCGTACATCTTGCCGGTGGCCTTCATCTGGCAGGCGCACACCTCCCCGAAGCCCCCCTTGCCCAGCACCCGGAAGTCCATGAACCACTCGTCCGTCACGCTCTGGCCCTCCAGCCACTTGAACTGCAGGAAGCGGCCGAAGTGCAGGCTCTCCGTGTACTTGGCCAGGGCACTGGCCTCCAGGTGCTTCAGCAGCTGCTGCTCGGCCTCCTTGAAGAGGTCCCCGTGGCCGTGCTTGGCGTCCTCCTTGGCCCGCATGATGGCCTTCTCCTCCAGGAAGGCGCAGAAGTCCTTGGAGGCCGAGTCGAAGTACCTGTTGATGCTCTTCTGGGCCGCCTGGGGCCGCTCGGCCTCCTCCGCCGTGTTGTAGTCCTCGATGCTCTTCCAGAGGCCGCCCGCCGCCTTGAACTCGTCCGTCTCCTCCAGGAACTGCTGGAAGAGCCGCTTGCCGATGGGCTGCTTCACGCAGATGGCGCCGAAGGCCAGGTCCAGCGAGCCCTTCAGGTGCTCGCACTGCGTGATGTGCGGCAGTTTCAGCTTGGCCCGCATCTTCTTGTCCCGCCCGGCGGAGGCGCTGCCATCCCCGCGGGCCGACACGTAGGCCGAGTTGGCCACCACTGTCTCGAGGCACCCGATGTCCATCGCGCCGGGGGCTCACCTGTAGAGGAGGCAGAGGGCACGTCCTGGAGAAGGGCTGCCTTCCGCCCCCATCGCTCCCATGTCCTCTTTCCCCTTTCCCAGCCTTCCCCATCCCGGGCTCCGCTGGACTGCAATTCCCACCATCCCCAGCCAGTCCAGCATGGGGGCAAGGGTGGGCTGCAGCCTTCTCCAGACGCAAGCGAGTTCCAGATATAATCTTGAGAGCCAGTGTGGTGTGGTGGTTGAGAGCACGGGACTGGGACTCAGGGGATCCGGGTTCGAGTCCCCGCTCAGCCACGGAGCCAGCTGGGTGACTTTGGGCCAGTCACAGCCTCTCAGCCCAGCCTACCTCACAGGGCTGTTGTTGGGGAAAGCTGGATTAACTGGGACAGCGGCGGCAGCCACACTGCATGGCATTGCAGGGCAAAATGGTTTGCAGGGGATTTTTCTGTGTCCGGACTGGCCAAGTGCAATGTTTCTCTCCTGGGTGCACACCTGCTGCTGTGAAAGCTGCACAGGTTGAATTTCTGCCTGTGGCGTCATGGCTGAGAGCTGTTCAGGCCTGGGAACCTTGCTCCCGGCCATCCTGGCAGTGCCCTCACTCCAAAAGCTCCTTCAAAAGCTGGATCCCCTGCTCAATGGAGGGAGGAAAATACAAGATATGGCCAGAGCTGACCAGCCTCCCCTCTTTGGTAGCTTTCCAGCAATGTTAGACTACAACTCCCATCAATATGCATCAGGGGTGTCCCTTGGGGTGCTCCCGCACTTGGGCTGTTCCTTGCACCCCCAAGGGTCCCTTCCCCTTGTCCGGGGTGCCCGGAAAGCCATTCCAGCCCCAGAGCGTTTGCTTTCTGTGCACAGGCAAGGAAACCATGAACCTCACTGGCCTTTATCTCCTCCACGGATCACGCGGGAATAGAATTCGTTAAGTAAACAAGCCGAGCTGCTTTACAGCATCGGGGGACAGGGCTGCTCAGAAATAAATTCAACGGCTCTGAAACGAGGCGGGCTCTCAGGTAAACCAAGGTAGGATTCAGCAGGTGTGGCGAAATGCCACAGCATCTCTCGCTTCTGGTTGCATACACAGCCTCCCCAACCTGGGCCCTGCCAGATGTGCTGGACTGCAACTCCCATCATCCCCTCGCTTGGAGAAGGCACTTGCAGGCTGCGGCTTGGCCTCTTGCACTCAGGTTTGTGCTCAGGCCCAGGTTCACCCGAGGGACTCCCTGCCACTGAGCCCAGCCTGGCCCGCCTGGCAGCCAGAAAGGGGGACTTGCGCTCCCTTCCCACGCCGGTCCCCACCACCCTCGGCTTCTCTCTCAGCCTCGCCCTGGGAAAACGGCCTTCCCTGCGTCTTCCCCTGCGGGGCAAGGGCGGAGCAGTTTGGCTATCAGGGGGCGAGGATGGAGCCAAGTGAACGGGGCCACGGGGCGCTCGGGGGACCGGGCCGAGGCCCCCACATCGTGCTGGCGGGGGAGGATGCCGGGGCCGGCGGCTCGGAAGAGGGGCTCGCTCAGCCTCATCGTGTGCGGAAGGATTCCTGCGTGACGCCCCGAGTCACTACGGAGCCTGCGGGGGCGAGGTGAGGCGTCCCCAAATGCCGCCGCGGATGCAGGATCACACCTGTGCTGCCGGACGCGACGGCCGCGCTCACTTCTTCCTCTCTGCTCTGTCCCGGTGCAAAGGAAGCTTTGCAGCCGTGGCGTGTGAGGCAAGGAGGCTGGAATGAAGGCGCTGGAGGCCAGGCCCCGTGGCCAAAGCAGCCCTCCAGGGGTCCCAGGTGCCCCCCACTTTCCCCCAAGGTGCTCAGTGGCCCCCATCTTTGGCGCAGGCACCTCACCTCCGTTCTCCTAAGATGTATGTAAGAGCTTGGAGCTGAAGTTGGCGTGTTGTGGCTCCACCCCTTTGTCTTTGGCCCCGCCCATCGGTGGAAGGCACCCCGAGAGCTGCTCTCGAAAGGGGTCTGCACCCCTGCGGCAACGTTTTAAACCCCTGAGGATCGCCGTGCCCTGCGGGGCCTCCAGCGGCGATGCGAGGAGGGAGACGTGCTGGGCCTCGACGTGCAGAGCGGCTGCGTGAGCCTCGGACGCAGCGCCCTGAAAGGGGCAGACTCTGCGTGAAGGATGGCCGGGGGAAGCGCCGCGCATGAACCCCCAAGTGCGTGTGCCCCTTCCATGGCTGTGGGCCATCGGAGGCGTCCAGATTTCAGGGCGCAGCGGCAGAAGTGAGCACAAGCCTGCGGCACGTCCTTTGTGCGGCTGGCGGGCCCATCTTCCTCCAGGTGCACTGGCCTCCGACCGCCAGCATCCCCTGACCAGTCCAGCACATCTGGAGGACCCCGGATGTTTTGTTCATTTGTTTATTCATTTTATTTCAAGTTTTTATATGCCGGCCCAATGCGAAAAGTCTTGGGGAAGGGGAACCGGCTGCCCCTGCCCAAGGCTCGTGGGGCTGGGGAACGACCTGTCCGATCCCATTAGAGTCCAGGCCGCAAAGCCTCGGATAATCCCCGGGATAAGCGGCTTGGTTGACCCAAGCATGGCTCCTGCCCTTTCCAGCGGGACACACCAAGAGATCCAGGATCCCGTGCTATGGGACCGGCCCCTCGAGCCAGGCCCCCGGGTTGTTCTCGCAAAGACCGGTGGGAAACACTCCCTTTTCGTTCTGGCTCTTGGGGCTACAACGGCAGCTGCCCAGCAGTGGGGGCTTCCCTGATCCCCTCGCACCCCCCGTGTGCTCCCAAGAGCTCGGGAAATGTCCCCATTGCATCCCGGGGTGGCCGGGGGTTCTCCTTTGCAGAGGACTGCCTGCGCTTGACGCCATCCAGTGGCTCAACCAAGATTCGGGCCTGGGGCACCGGAACAAAGACCTGCTTTGACAGACGTCTGACTGGACAGGTGGGAGTACAAGCCACTTGGTCCCGGCCTTCCACGCGTTGATTAGATGTGCTGCGTTTCAATTTAAATTATAAGAGTAATCTCTACATTTGCAGCTGTGTATGCACAAATTCCAGCAACTGACTGGTCGGTTTTGTCCCCCCCCCCCACCCCCCGTTCTGGTGATTCATACAAAGCCACGCTGCTTCGAGCTACAGATGGATGGATTTTGTTAAATCCGGTCCATCTGTGTTTCCTGGATTGTCTGGTGTCTTTCATTTCATCATCCACTCATGGATGAGCCCAGATTTTTCTCGATTCCCGGAACTTCCGTTCATGGGGAAAGGGGGCATGCTTCTGAAAATGCATATTCGTGCAAATATGCAGCCCTGCCCCCCACCCACCCTGTACACCTTTTCACACCTCGGGCCGCAAGGGAAAATAAGCATTTTGGTGGAAGGAGTTCTTAAGATGTAATTTGCTATGGGTCAATTTGTGCACGTTTCTGGAAAATAGAAAAATGACCCGCAAGTCCAAAAAATATTTGGCCTACGGTGGAATCCATGAGGTGGATTCCTCCAGATCAAAGACAGTCTGCCTCTGTACTCCGCTTGCTGGGGAGCATGGGTTGCAGGGTTTTGTGCCCCTGGGGCAACAGGGGACCCGGGCGAGAGGGCCCTGGCCTGGGCCAGTGCAGCTCTTCCAAATTTCTTATGCACAGACACCTGGGCTCAGCTGAACCCTCTGGCACCCCTGCTCTGCCCCACGCTGCGAAGGAATCCGGCTCTTCGTCCCCTGCCCTCTGCAATGGGCGAGGGCGGCTTTGCCCGGCCATTTCTGCCCAGGAGGGGGAGATGGGGAGGCATCTGCCAAGGTGGCCCATTCTGGGGAGCAGAGTGAGAAATGGAGCTATCGCTTGTAGTGGGGGAAGCCCAATCCACCAGGATGTGGCCAGGCCAAGCCGAAAGGAGCGGCTCCTGCACAAGAGACCAGTGGGCCATGGCTCTGTCCAGCTCTGCCAGCGCTAAGACGGCCAGCAAAGCACCTGCACAAACCGGGCACCTGCACAAATGCTTCCGGGTTCCCAGAAGAGAGGTGGAAAGCGGTTTGTGAGGATGTGATTATTCCCTTGGTTCTATTCTTTAATACCACCCTGAGATTTTCTTTGTGGAGTGATCGGTAAGCATTTTAAGCGATTCGTAAACACGGCAGAGTCATTTAAAAGCACGCACATTTTAGACGGAACAGCAGGCAGAGCGGGGGGCCAGCAGACAGAAAGCGTGTTTCCTCCTCTGCCTTCACGCTTTCCTTTGCCCTGCTGTGGGATCCGTGATCCCTCCCGCTCCCCCTTTCCCACCCTTCCGAAATCTCTTTGGTGCAGCCTTTCCACCGACCCCTCCCACCCCTCCATGGCCAAAAGGCACGCAAGGCAGAGCAGAAGGAGGTCGGCTGCCCCTCTGCCTCTCCGTCCATCTGGAGGAATACTGAGTCGGCCCACATCCCTTCCGGCCCCAGTCCACCCCCTCAGCCCATTTCTCCAGGCTGCAAACCTCCCCATATAAGATTGGAGCCCCATACGGCGAAGCGAGAGGCAACTCGTGCGCCCAGAAGCCCCCAGCTTAGGAAGCCCCGTGCCAGGGGGGGGGGCTATTTCGTCCCCATCAGCTCTGATCCCCGCAGAGTGGCTTAGACGGCACGGACCTGCCTCTCACTGGCTGCCCTGCATGTTTTGCTCCACAGAACCCCACATCCTAAGGAAACGGACGGCTTTGGATTCCATCACTGAGGACTCTCCTTCCTCTTTGGGGTGGGGTGGGGTGGGGTGGGGAGAATTCGCCTTCTGCCTCAGTTCCAGCTTCTCTGCAGTCTTGCCTAAACTTGAATTCACCTCCCCAATTTCTCGGCCGGTGCCCTACTTCCTTGCAGCCCGTGAGATGCCCTCCTGCAGAAGGAGCATTTATTTATTTTAAACCATTTTTATGCCGCCCCATTCGCAAAAAGCCTCAGGGCGGCTTACAACTTTACTTTCCTGGCATTGCAACTGCTCCCCTTCCTGATCTGTTAAAGTACCTGCCAGCCCTGTTAATTAAATAATAACACACACACCCCCCCAAATTCTGAGCAGCT